GCTTCCCCTCATTCTCTTCGTCACTCTCTCTCTCTCTTCGTCACTCCCTCCTCCTCCTCCTCCTCCTTCTCCATCCCCCCTTTCCCCCCATTCTCTTTGGTACTTCGTTACTCTCATCTCTTCCTTCCCCATCCATCCTCATCCCACTCCCCTTCCCCAACCTCTAGTTCTTCCTTCCCCTCCCTCCTTCCCCTTCCCCTTCCCCCTTCTTCCTCCTTCCACTACCCCATTCCCCCCACCCCCACCCCTACCCCCTGCCTCGTCACCACCACTTCTGCTTTTCCCACAAAGTTTTTTTTTTGGGAACGTTTATGAAGTCGCGGCGCTTGGAGTTGCAGTGTATATATTTTTCTTCTTCTTTGAGGGGGAACTGTAGCAAAATTTTCTGTTCTTATTTTCTCTTTTTTTCTGTAATTTTCTTCTTCTTTTTCGGCGGGAAAGTGGTGTTGTCATGCGCTTTCCTTTCGTACTTTCACTTTCACCACCATTTTTCTTGTTGGGGTCATCATCATCACTTTACATAACTACTAAATGAGACCAGTTTTTTTCTCTCATACATACATTTCACATGTTTAAAAGTTTCACTATACTTCAGCTAAACTCAATTAATATCTTTATTCAATTTGATGAAAATTTCCTTCACCTATTATCTTTATCTTTATCATATTCTCACCAACAATAAAAAAACAAGATAACATCGTTTTCTTTACATCGCGTAAATTGACCGTTTTCTTCTTCATCGTCAGACCACTCTTCTTTATAAAAAACGGGAAGAATACGTAAATTTTCTCGTCATCTTTGTTATACACGTCAGCTGGTGTTCTGGCTCGTTTCCGCAGTTCTTATTCATTGCGTTGTTGTGTGTGTGTGTGTGTGTGTGTGTGTGTGTTGTGTGTGTGTGTGTGTGTGTGTGTGTGTGTGTGTGTGTGTATTGTGTGTGTGTGTGTGTGTGTGTATGTGTGTTTTAGGAGGGGAAGGGAAGTATTCGGAAAAGCCAATCAATATATTTCTAAATACAATAATAAGCATGCGCAAATTAAAATCCAATATATAATCAAATAACCCTTCCACATATCACAACCAACATAATTACATATACAACATACCGCACATCACACATCATCACCAAATATCATACACATACATATCCTGCGTTGCATCACCACATAGAGGAAAAATCGGTGCAACATACCGCATCATCACACATCATCACATTTTCACCACACCAACATACCGCATCATCACACATCATCATTTTTAACACCACACCAACATACCGCATCATGACACATCATCACATTTCACCACACCAACATACCGCATCATCACATTTACCACACAACATACCGCATCATCACACATCATCACATATCCTGCGTTGCATCACCACATGGAGGAAAAATCGGTGCAACATACCGCATCATGACACATCATCACATTTTAACACCAACATACCGCATCATCATCACCACACCAACATACCGCATCATCACATTTTCACCACACCAACATACCGCATCATCACACATCATCACATTTTCACCACACCAACATACCGCGCAATCAATTCATCACCATCATCGCATGCATACATCCACATTTTCACCACACCAACATACCGCAATCATCACATTTTCAACACACCACATACCCGCTCATTACACATCACATACCTGCGTTGCATCACCACATGGGGGAAAATCGGTGCAACATACCGCATCATCACATTTTCACCACACCCAACATATCGCATCATCACATCATCAACATATCCTGCGTTGCATCACCACATGGGGGGGGAAATCGGTGCAACATTGAGTATTCTTTGTTGCACGCATATCCTGCACGCTTAGCACGTCCCTTAGCAACAGACGAGTATCCTTGTTGCAAGTACGTTATTAAGTCTTCTTATACCCCCCCCCTCTCCCCTCTCCCCTCCCCCGGTCACTTCACTCCCCCTTCCTCTTTCTCCATCCTGAATCTTTCTTCTTCTTCTTCCTCTTTCTGATTTTTTTTTTTTTATCTTTTATTCTTTTCCCTATTCCTCGTTCATCTCTTTCGTCTTTTCTTCGGTATTTCTCCTTCTCTTATTCATTTCCCTCACCCTCCTCCCTTCTTTCTCTTCACCCACTTCTCTCCGCTTCTCTTCAACCCCTACTCACCCCCCACCCTCCCTCCACCCCCACCTTCATCCCTCATCCCTCATCCCCCAACCCTCCTTCACCCCGCTTCTCCCCCGCTTCCTCCCTTCAACTCCCCACCCCCACCCACCTTCCCTCACCCCTCCACCCCCACCATCTCCCTCCCCTCACCCCTCCTCCCTCATCCCCACCTCCTTCACCCCACTTCTCCCTCATTCCTCACCCACTTCTCCCCCCCCCTTCCTTCCTCACTCCCTCACCATCACCCCTACCTCCCTCACCCCCCCACCACTTAACACTTACAAAGGGAACCTCAGGACACCCACTCATCACCACACACATTGAAAGGCGCTGCACCAACCATCTCTCACTTTGCAAGTTGCAGACCTTGAATTTTACGCTTAGATGCAACAGCAAAGACCCTGCAAAGACTGTCCTCGGTGTCTTGCCATCTCCCCTCTTGATATTATCTTTTCTACCTGTTATTGTTGTTTCTTCTCTTCCTTTTTTTTTGTTCTCTTTCTTCTTCTATTATCTCTTCTGTTCTCTCTTTTTTTTTTGTCTCCTTCTCCCGGTTTGTCTTTCATTTTTCTTTTTCGTCTTCGTCTTCGTCTTCCCCTTCTTTATTTTCTTCTTCTTCTTCTTCTCCTTCTCCTTCTTCTTCTTCTCTCTTCTTCTTCTTCTCCTCTCTTCTTCCATCTCTCTCCTCTCCTCCTCCTCCTTCTTCTTTTTCTCTTCTCCTCCTCCTCCTTCTCTTCTAGACATCATAAAACACCAAAAATAACTATCTAAATTATACTAAATGGGCAAGTAGGTAGGAAAAGCAGGTAGATAGGAAGCCAAGGAGACGGGGACAAGGGCAAGCAGGAAGGAGGGCAGACAGACAGACAGACAGACAGGCAGGCAGGCAGGTAGGAAGGCAGACAGGCACCAGACACAGGCAGACAGACAGGGAAGACAGGCAGACACACACACAGACAGGGCAGGACAGACGAACAGGCAGGGGAAGGCAGAACAGACAGACAGACGGGCAGGCAACCAGACAGGAAGGAAGGCAGACAGATAGACAGAGACAGACAGACAACAGGCAGGAAGGAAGGCAGACAGATAGACAGACAGACAGGCAGACAGACGGACAGGCAACCAGACAGGAAGGAAGGCAGACGGACAGACGGACAAGCAGGCAGGAAGGAAGACAGACACAAGACAAATAGACAAGCACGCAGTCCCAGAAACAGACAAAAAAACAGCCACGTCGCAATCCCTTTTTCTAGAAGTTTCGAAACAACGAGACACGAACCCTGTTTCGACACCCGACAGAATCTCCGACAGAGGAAAACCAGCCCAGTTACGTCGTGAAATACGGTCGATTTTTCTCTTTCGACCGTAGGAAAATGTCCTTTGAGGGAATGCATGTTCTTCCCTTCTGCTCTGCCGGTGATGCTTGGAATTGGCTCACGATTTCGAAAAGCATTTGTCTTTTTTCTCTCTCATGTTGTTTCTGTTTCTCTTTCTGTCTCTGTTAGTTTCTTTCTGTTTGGTGTAATCTATCTCTCTCTTCATCTCTCCTCTCTCTTCTCTCTCTCTCTCTTCTCTCTCTCTCTCTCTCTCTCTCTCTCTCTCTTCTCTCTCTCTCTCTCTCTCTCTCTCTCTCTCTCTCTCTCTCTCTCTCTCTCTCTCTCTCTCTCTCTCGCTCTCTCTCTCTCCTCTCTCTCTCTCTCTTTCCCCTCCCCCTCTCTCTCTCTTCTCTCAAAGTCAAAGTCAAAAGTCTCTCTCTCTCTATCTATCAATCAATCTATCTATCTATCTATCTATCTATCTATCTCTTCTCTCCTCTCTCTCTCTTTCTCCCTCTCCCTCTCCCTCCCCCTCCCCCTCTCTCATGATACGCACAAAGAGATATTTCCCAGAAGTTCAGTACCATGAATGGTTATCATCACCGCTACATGGTACTGTTTTTTCACCTCTGTCATCACCATTATCATCATCATCATCTTGTGCATCGTCTTCTAACGCTTCACACTTCCTTTCTCTCTTTCTCTTTCCATTAGCTTCTCTATTCTCTACACCGTTATGAACCATCTCGAGAAGCAGGCAGAGTGAGGACGAAGCTATGAACCCAGCTGTTGAACCGTCCCATCAGCTGATTCATGAAAGAAAGCGTGAACTATTATAAGAAAAGATATGTAAGAGAAATAAATATAACTAATATAAGATGACTATGAGGAGACGGGGGGAGGGATAGGCCTATGGAGGCATAATGGTAATGACGATGATAATGATAATAATAATGATGATGATGATAGTAGTAATGATAATAATGATGATGATTATGAGATGATGATGATGATGACTGCATTATGTTGTAAATAATAGCGAATGAAAGACGTGTGTATCATTGTAAATAATATGGGATTCTGTGTTATTATTGTGTATATCAGAAATACGCATTAATTTAGAAAACTATCGACATATGAATTATCTAATTTTGTGATTTTGTTGTCAAGTTGTACAGGAAGAGTTATCGAATCTAAATTCTAATGAAAATGCAGTGTTTAGTCATGGAAAACGTTGCGCATACAGAGTTTCACTTGTCACGTGATAGCTTTGTTTACAAGTTGGAATGAGCGGAGGAGGTGAAGAATCCCTCAGCATAAGGACTTGAATTTGTCAGATTTTGACTAACATGTATAAGGTAGGAACATCGTTTGAATATATTTTGTTCTTGAGTATATCATTGATGAGATTCTAAATTTTGGTTGGTCTGGAACAGTGATTTATTGTATATTGAGGAAATTTAAATGTCTGTGTCGGAGATACTCAGCTCACGTGTGGCATTTTTCCAAAGAAAGATGTATTATGTTAATTTTGTACAGCCTGGGACTTGCTGAATTAGGGCAAAATTTGCAATATTACTTAGATATCATCATTGAGGGGCAAGGTGCCAAATTATAAGTAAACTGGTCTTACATATTTGGAACTATGTGATTGTGGATTAATATTGCAAATTGTCTCTGAAGGAATTGTATAACTGATTACATGTGTGTGAGAAATTTAATCATTATTATTGCGAAAAACCTCCCCATTTCTTTGATTGTTTCTATGTTCTCCTCAGATGATTATTTCTATGCTCTCCCTGACTTGAAATTAATGTGTTGATATCGTTTATTAGTTGCAATATATTGAATAAACCGAATTTACATGGAAACTCCACTGAATATTATTCTGGTGTATTGATGATGATGGTGGTGATGATGATGGTGATGATGATGATGCATAATGCAATAATGGAACCAATAATAACAGCAACAGCAATAATAAAAGTAGAACAATAATAATGATAATAATGCCAATAATAACTAAATAAGTACTAGTATCAGTATTATAACACTACCATAAAACCTGCTCCTACAACAAACACACCCAAAACCCAACCAAAACCCCAAACCACAACAAACAATACAGCAAACCATGCTAATACCTCTCTCTCTCTCTCTCTCTCCAACCACAGGAAACTGCGTGTGTTACTTCAGCCTCGAATACCAAGGAGTTTACGCCACTCAGAGCATCGTCAGCGGCGGTTCGACGATCCAGTATCTCGAAGTGGCCATTGAAGCAGATTCGATCCCGATTTGGGGCAACTGCCACCGCCGTCTCGGGAATAATGTGATTCTTTATGATATGTGAGTGGTTTGGGGCGGCCCCGTGTGAGGGTCGTGAAGGTTATGTGTTGTTATTTGTGTATTTTTTGGGTTGTTTTCTTTTGTTTTTGTTTTTTTGTTTTTTTTCTTGTTTTGTTTTATGTTTATTGGTTCGTGCTTGTGGGTGGTTCTGAATGGATGTGGAGTTTGTGTAGTTTTTCTTTTTGTGTATGTTTGTGTATCGTGTGTGTGTGTGTGTGTGTGTGTGTGTGTGTGTGTGTGTGTGTGTGTGTGTGTGCATATGCGTGTGCCTGTGTGTCTGTGGCGTAACCAATCCGTAGATTTCAACACCCCATAACTCAATTCTTACCCTGGAAAACCATATAAACAAAACACCCTCTCTCCTCTCTCTCTCTCTCTCTCTCTCTCTCTCTCTCTCTCTCTCTCTCTCTCTCTCTCTCTCTCTCTCTCTCTCTCTCTCTCTCTCTCTCTCTCTCTCTCTCTCTAGTCTCTTCTCTCTCTCCCTTCTCCCTCTCTTCCCTCTCCTTCCTCCCTCTCCCTCCCTCTCCCTCCTTTCCCTTTCATCCTTCTCTCCTAATCCTTCCCTAATCGAATCCTTCCTCCCTCCTTCCTCCTCCCTCCCTTTCATATCCTTCCCCTAATCTCTTCCTAATCTTCCCTTCGAATCCTTCCACTCCACAGGACCGGCGGAACAGACTGCGTGCGCTGTTTCCACCTGCAGTTCCGCTCGAGACATATCCTGGAGGTGCACAACGAAGGCCTGCAAAAATGCTACACCAACGAGGACGCTGCTTTGCAAACCTGCCCGACGCTGGAGGATATTCGCAATAGGCAGACGAGGGAGATTATGTTGTATAGTGAGTATTGTGTGTATTGGTTTTTTTTGTGATTTATGTGATTTTTTATGGTTTATTGTGATTGTGTGGTAGGGATTATAATAATGATGTGTATTTCTGCTGAGAATGTATGTGTGTGTATACGTGATATTCATTTCGAAAAACTTCCCAAGTTTGTTCTCTCTCTCTCTCTCCTTCTCTCTCTCTCTCTCTCTCTCTCTCTCTCTCTCCCTCTCTCTCCTCTCTCTCTCCTCTCTCTCTCTCTCTCCTCTCTCTCTCTCTTCTCTCTCTCTCTCCTCTTTTTTCTCTCTCTCTCCCTTCTCCCTCTCTCCCTCTCTCCCTCCTTCCTCCCTTCCCCTTCCCCTCTTCTCCCTCCTTCCTCCCCCCCTTCCTCCTCCTTCCTCTCCTTCCTTCCCTTCCCCCTCCCTCTCTCTCCCTCCCTTCCTCCCCTTTCCCCTTCCCTTCCTTCCCTCCTCCCTCCTTCCTCCCTCTCCCTTCCTCCTTCCCCCCTCTCCTCCCTTCCCTTCCCCTTCCTCCTCTCCCTCCTTCCTCCCATTCTCCCTCTCTCGGGCAGACCCTCATAACCTTTTACCATTCCTCTCCGCCACAGAAACCAACGATAGAGGGCCAGGCACTTGACCCCGTATAACTGCCCCTCTGAACGGCCGGTTTCGCATGACCTACAACATCAACGACGGCCGGGAGAGTGCCACGGAGTGCCCTGAGCCGACCTCGACCCTCGCCAACTGCCCGAGAGGAAATGCCTTCACCATGGACCTCCATCGCTGTAGCTTCGGGGACTTCTGTGAGTATTTAGTTTCGGGTTTGTTTGTTTTCTCTTTGTATTTCTTTTTTTTAAGGTTGTCTTTTTTTCGGCGATTGGGACGCGTTTTTTTTCTTTGTTTTGGTTTGTTCTGTTGTTGTTTGTTTGTTTGTTTTTTATTGTGTTTTTAAACGAGTCTCAGGTGAGGAGTCTCGAAACAGTTCACGGTTCTTTGGTTCGGTGATTCGATCTTCTCTCTAATAGAGTTTTAAAATCAATACCACATTTCATATTTCATTTTGGTTAATCCATTTTTTGGTTTGTTTTATTAATTGTTCTTATTTTTTATTGTTGGTTTTGTTTTGCTGTACCTTTTTCTTGTTTTCTTTTACCTTTTATTCACCTTTTGTTTTGTTTTCCTTTGCGTGTCAATCTCAAACACTACAATCGGTTCTCTGCTTCGTTGCTTCGGTGCTTCGCCAGTGAGTTTCGGATGTTGAGTCATGCAAGAGGCAGGTGACCCCAAACTCATCTGTCTCACGGTCTTTTCGAGTCTCATGGAAGGTGTGCGTGTGTGTGTGTGTGTGTGTGTTGTGTGTGTGTGTGTGTGTGTGTGTGTGTGTGTTGTGTGTTGTGTGTGTGTGTGTGTGTGTGTGTGTGTGTGTGTGTGTGTGTGTGTGTGTATTCAGTCTCGCCACGAAGTTCGGATTGAAAAGGTCTTGATTTTACTTTTTATTTTCGCTGAGAGGAATCGGTGATGTGCTTGACTGCCATTAATCGAGATATTCAGAGATTCTCAATTGAATTCGAATCACTGCAAAATGTCGATAAAGGAAGACCGGAAATTCATGGGAGTAAAGAGTGCGAATTAGATTTTTGTCGGAAATTCATGGGAGTTAAAAGTGCGAATTAGATTTCTGTTGACGGTTATTCATGAATATTTTACCTGGCTGTGTGACTCACTTGTCCTCTTACAAAAATAAATAAAATAGAATAAAAAATATAAAAAATAAATAAATAGATAGATAAATATCAGAAATAAAATAAAGAAAAAGAAATCGAAGGGAAATAAGGAATGAATCATGTAAGATAAAACAAATAGTAATATGCAGTTGGCAGGTTGGTTATTATAATTGTAATGCACCAGATGTTACTTGGGCATTCTGTTTTCACCTAGATGGAATTAGATAGATACATTGATATATAAGTAACTAAATAGATGATAAATTAATAAAACTAATAAGTTGGTAAACAAACAAATGATAAAAGAACCGCTCTCTCTCTCTCTCTCTCTCTCTCTCTCTCTCTCTCTCTCCTCTCCTCTCTCTCTCTCTCTCTCTCTCTCTCTCTCTCTCTCTCTCTCTCTCTCTCTCTCTCTCTCTCTCTCTCTCTCTCTCTCCTCTCTCTCTCTCCTCTCTCTCTCTCCTCTCTTCTCTCTCCTCTCTCTCTCTCTCTCTCTCTCTCTCTCTCTCTCTCTCTCTCTCTCTCTCTCTCTCTCTCTCTCTCTCTCTCTCTCTCTCTCTTCTCTCTCTCTCTCTCCTCTCTCCTCTCTCTTCTCTCTCTCTCTCTCTCTCTCTCTCTCTCTCTCTCTCTCTCTCTCTCTCTCTCTCTCTCTCCTCTCTCTCTCTCTCTCTCTCTCTCTCGCTCTCACTCCTCTCTCCTTCCCCCCTCTCCCTCTCTCCCTCCCCTCTCCCCTCTCTCCCTCCCCCTCTCTCCCTCTCTCCCTCTCCCCCCCTCTCCTCTCTCCTCCCCCCCTCTTCCCTCTCTCCCTCCTCTCCCTCCCTCCTCTCCCTCCCTCCCTCCCTCCCCCTGCCCCACCCTCTCTCCCCCCTCTCTCTCTCCTCTCCTTCTCCATCTCCCTCCCTCTCTCTTCATTATCACCATCACAAACCCACCCATATTTATTTTTCTCTCTCCCTCTCGCCTCCTCCAGCAAAGAGCTACGAGTGCCTGGGCGACTGGGAAGGCACCGACGGCCAGCGCTACTTGGCACTCCACGACCCGACCGCCCTCGCTGCCTCCAACGCCGACCCGCCGCCGCCCAGATTCCGCTGTGCTGTGAGTACCGATATTAGTTTGTTTTTTTTTTTCTGTGTGTTTGTGTTTGTTTGTGTGTGTTTTTTAAGTGTTATTATATTTGTTTGTATTGTTGTTGTTATCTTTATTTTTGTTTTCCTCGTCGTCGTCTTGTCGTCGTTCATCAATTATCATCATCAATCATCATCATCATCATCATCATCACCATCACCATCATCATCACCCTCACCATCATCATAACAACTACTAATTGGAGCATCTTATTCCATCGCTTCTGAAACATATAAAATCAAATATTTACCAGAATACACACCTAAATGAAGGAAAGTGTATATACAAAAAAAAAAACATAGACTAAAACATTTAAACAATACACACCTAAATGAAGGAAAGTGTATATAGAAAAACTTGTAGACTAAAACATTAAACAATACACACCTAAATGAAGGAAAACACTCCATATGGGGTTCGAGCGTTCGAAACTCAATGAACCTTGACTCGCGGAAACCATTCGGCGGGGGGGGGGGGTAAAAACAACACCTGGCGCTACCGTCTTCTAATTGGATTTGCTCTGTGAGGGGAGTGTAGAGGAAGGTGTAGCCCAAAACCTGGTGTAAAAGATTTTGTTGGGTGGTGAACTTAATAACTTGATATTAAAGGTTTTTGTTGCTGTCTCCAAAAGAAAAAGATACACTAATGATTAACTTGACTTGATGTAAGAGATTTTGTTGCTATATCTCTGTCTCCAAAGGAATAATATACTCTGATTAATGATTAACTTGATAATTAAATATAAAAGATTTTGTTGCTATATCCCTATCTTCCAAAGAAATTAGATAAACTGATCTTCTATATCCTAAAAGAAATTAGATAAACTGATTGATGGTTAACTTGATAACTTAATATAAAAGATTTTGTTGCTATATCTCTATCTCCAAAAGAAAATAGATACAGTGATTAATGATTGCCTTGTAAATTACGTATATTTTTTCGCTTAGAATTGTTATATTTATGATCCGAAAAGAAGTAAATTAAATGCACAGTTTGATTAGTAAGCGAATACTTGTTAACTGTCTTCTTTTTTCGCAAAGAATCGTTGCTATAATTCTCATCCCCAAAACAAATTAAACAAATAGCTTCATTTATAAAAAAAATTATAATAATAAAAAATAAATAAATAAATAAAGATTTAAAAGAATAACTTTTTTTCAATATTCGCAAAAGGTGTGCTTTAAGAACTAGAATTTTAGAAGAGATTACCCCTTGTGAATTTGAAGAGGATCATAAGACGATGAAACCTGATTGTGTAACGAGTGTGTTGGTTTTGGGCTAACACAAGAGGTGAATTTAGAGCCACGACTTTGCTTGTGTCTATATGAACCAGGAGATCGCAAAGTTGAATCCTCAAATAGTAATTATTATTGTTTACTATTATCATTTATGTTTAAATATTTGTCATATTTATTTATTTCGTGTGTGTGTGCTTTTTTTTTTTATTGCAATGTTGTTTTCGCTTTATTTTTTTGGGCTGTCGTTCTGAGATAAGATATTGATAGCACAAAGTAGGAGGAATTTTCTTAATCTTTCCAAAGCATTATATATATAGATATATAGATAGATAGATAGATAGATAGATAGATAAATTATGGCTTAAAACAGAAGCTCGGTTTTAAAAGCACATTTAATTATTCTATTTGGCTTCTTGTTTTACATTTCCGTCTACCCTTTTATCATCTATCCCAATTTTTACTTCAATTTATATTCATTTATCTCTTTTTTTCCTATCTTTTACTGTCGCTTCGTCCACACTCGCAATAAAGAAGAGAAAAAAAGGAAAATGCAGTTCCTTTCCCCCGTCTTGCGAAGGTCTCGGAGCCCAGCTGATCCGAAGACGAATAATTCTTCGGGAAAAAAAAAGGAAAAAAGAAAAAAAAAAAAAACATCAATGTCTCGTCCATTAATCGCGGACACACAAAACACAAACCGTGATTAAAAGCCCGTTGCTAACTCTCTTAAGGTTCCTTTTGCTAATGATTACCCGGGGGATTTTCAACCTTAAGGCGATCGTGGCTTCGACGTCGTTCTTGCCTCGCCGGGCTGCATATGTTCCCCTCGCTGCGCTTCGAAATTCCCGCCAAAAAAGCATTTCCTGTCTTCTTCCTCGCTTCGGATGTTCGAACTCTCGCACTCGCTCGCCTTCAACTCCTTCCTTCCACCTTCCTTCCTTCCTCTGCCTTCCACCTTTTCTCCCATTTATCTTAAAATCCGTCTCGTTCATTCCCTCCACTCCATTCTCCAAGAATAAGAAGCAAGTATTTAGATATATTTTTTTCCCTCTCGATGTGATTCAAGCGTTCGTCAAGATTGGCAAAGAGGCTCCCCGAGGTGTGTCGAAGCCCGAGCCGTCCCGAATCGGAAGGTTCACACGGAGGTTCCAGTCGATGGGTCTCCGCGCGTGATGCTGTGTGGGACGTCGGCAAGAAACGGCTCTCAGGGCTTGTTTCCTGTCTTTTTTCCGCTTCTGGGTAATGTCAGTTTAAAGTGCCGGGGGAAAAAAGGACATTTTTGTAAGTCTTTACGAAGAAGAGGTGGGGGGGGAGAAGGGAGGGGGGAGGGGGGGAGAAGACCTGTGTAAACACGACAGTCCTTGCAAGAGACTAGCGCGAGTGATATATATATATATATATATATATATATATATATATATATATATATATATATATATATATATATATATATATATATGTGTATATATATATATGTATATTATATATATATATATAATTTGTGTATCTTATTCTTTTACCCTTCCTCCTTCCTTCCTCCCTTCTTTCCTCTCTATATATATTCATTCCGTCCTTCCTTCTCTCCTTCCTATCTCCCTTCCTCCCTTCCTTCTCTTCTTCCATTCTTCCTTTCTTCCTCTTCTTCCTCCCTCCCTCTCCTTCCTTTTTTCCTTCCCCTTCTTTCCTCTCTCTCTCCCTCTTTCCTTTCTCATATCCCTCTCCTCCTCCTCTTTCCTTTCTCTCCTTCCTTCCTCCTCCCTCTCCCTCCTCCTCCTCCCTCCCTCTCCCTCTCCCCTCCTTTCTTCTCTCCTCCTTCCTCCCCCTCCTTCCCTCCCTCCCTCCCTCTCCCTCCCTCTCCCTCTCCCTCTCCCTCTCCCTCTCCCTCTTTCCTCCCTCCCTCCCTTCCCTACCTCCGTTCCCCCGTTCCTTCCTTCCTTCCTTCCGTCCTCTCTCCCTCCCTCTCTCTACGTCTTCCAAGACATCCTTACGCCACGCTGAGCTCCTTCCAGCTAACCGCAGCGGCCCCATCAGTTGAAGCAGGGTTGGCGTAGGACCGAAACCACATCCTCTGGGCTAATGCACTCACGCCGGCGGTCAGTGCAGCGGGTCTGGATAGCCGTAAGGACCAGATTAGCGTGTCGTAGGAATTGTAGGAATTGTCATAGGTACTGTCATAGGAATTGTAGAAATTGTCACTTGTCATAGGAATTGTCATAGGTACTGTCATACGAATTGTAGAAATTGTCATAGGAATTGTCACTTGGACTGTCATAGGAACTGTAGAAATTGTCTTAGGAATAGTCACTGGGACTGTCATAGGCATTTTAGAAATTGTCTTAGAAATTGTCACTTGGACTGTCATAATTGTAGAAATTGTCATAGTAGATAGAACTGTCGTAAGAACTGTTATGGTCTGTCTGTCGTAAGTCACTCATACAGGAACAGTCATAGTCACTGTCGTAGGTTTGACGTAAGGGTTGTCACGAGGATTATCTGTCATAAGGATTGTCATAAAAGCTGGTCATTGTCATAAGGAGCGCAATAAGTATGTTCACAGCCGGAACAAATGTCATGAGTATTGGTTACTGTCATAGAAGTTGTCATAGCTGCTGTCATGGTACTAATCATTGCTATAGTTATTAAAATAATCGTTGTCATTGATATAATTGGGGTCATTACCACTTTTACGTCATCATAACCATCACAGTAATTATCAAGCGCAATAATTATAGTCTTATTCGTGGCCAATCTTATTAAGTCATATTGCCATCCCTTAATCTTGCAAGTAGTCGGAGTAATAATAGTCACCGCGATAGCCATCGTCACTGTCGCGGTAAACATAAGAAGAGCTGAAGAGCGCGCCGTGTGACTTTATTTTTCCTCGCGGTGTTTTTATTCCTCGGGGGAAAAAGAGGAAAATTACTTACGAAAATTGTAATATTTGCCGAGGGAATTTTTCCGTTTGAAATGAGTGATGTGAGGGTAGAATAAATTGAAACTTCGAAGAAAAAGATTCTGTTTATAGGTGTGTGTGATTGTGAGTGTGTAGGTATATTTATAGGTTTGTGTGTGTGTTTGTGAGTGCGTGTGCGTGTGTGTGTGTGTGTGTGTGTGTGTGTGTGTGTGTGTGTGTGTGTGTGTGTGTGTGTGTGTGTGTGTGTGTGTGTGTGTGTGTGTGTGTGTTTGTGCATGAAATCTGTATACTTTCATTCTTTTTTCTTTGAGTGTATTGCACAGAGTAACAATCAGACCGATTCACGTTAATATTCACTCGCAACAAAAACCTGCCCATTTTTTACGCTTTTATTTTCCTCCTTTATGCTGCTTCTTCAATTCCAAAAATTGCTCCAACAGTGCTTTCACCATCGCTATTATCTCACCCCTCCCTATCCCTCCCCTCTCTCACCCCCTTCTCTTCAAATCCCCTCTCCGCCCTGCCCCCTTCCCTCCTTCTCTCCACCCTTCTCCCTCTCCAATCTCCGTTACCCCCCCTCCTTCGTCCCCTTCTTCTCTATCTAACCCCTTCAATCCTCCTTCGCTCCCCCCTCTTCTCCTTCCTTCCCCTCTCTCTCTCTCCTCCTCGCTCCAATCTCCCCCCTCCCTCACCTCTCCCCTTCCCCTCCCCTCTCCCCTCTCCCTCACGCCCCCCCTTATATCCAAGAAATTATTTAAACTCCCTTCATTTTCGCTTCTTACGAAATATACTTTTACATGTAAATTAGGGTGGTTCCAGCT